GGATTGAGAAGACTTGGAATGCAGCACAAGAACAGTGAGGAAAGGCAATTTTTTCAATAAATGGTTCTGGGGAAATTAGATATCAATATGGAAAAAAATAAAATTAGGCCCTACTTTACACCAAAGCCCAAAAACAATTGGAGGTGAATTGTACATCTAAATGTGAAAGGCAAGACAATAGAGCATCTAAAAGATAAAATAGGAGAGTTTCTTTATAACCTTGGAGTAAGAAAAAATTATTAGAAATAGGACACAAAAAGCCCTAAATACAGGAAATGATGATAAATTTGACTACATTCAAATGAAGAGCTTCTTTATGACAACAGATACTGGTAAGAGAGTAAACAGATGAGTCACAAAGTAGAAGGAAGTTATTTAAAATGCATTCTGATTCAGTCCAAGTATGCTGAGTTCCAAAAACAGGATAAACTAAACGAGCTTTAGAGATGCATGGCTAGACGGTAAAAACATAAAGAAAAACAAGAAAGAAATTACCGTTCAAGCCAAGAGAGTGGTCACCTCTGGAGGAAAGGCACAGAGTAGTGATTTGGAGGGTCAGGAGTGGGCTGTGAGGGCTGGCCATGTTCCATTTCTTGATTCTTGACCAGAATGGTGTTATACAGTGTTTGCTTGTGATCATTCATTGAGCTTTATGCTTTGTTTATGTATATTTTCTGTATATATGTTTTATTTCATGATATAAAAGTTTAAAAGAGTGTCTATCTCATAAGGTTCTTGCAAGACTTAAATGAGATCATGCATAGGAGCCTGGCATATCAAAAGTGTCCGTCAAGGTTAGCAACTCTGATTATCATTGGCTTGGGGGCATTTTGAGTGTGACCTGCTTATGCATGTGGAACTCAGCAGAGGATTTGTGGGTGGTCCACATATTCATGGGAGGTCATCCTGGGAAGGTGTGCAAGGCACAGGTGGAGTGGACAGTGTTGGGGGATGAGAGATCATAGGCCAGCTTGGACAGAGTAATGCATCTCTCCTACTGCGTCTTTCAACCAGCAGACCACAGAGTCCCCCAACCATGGGAGTCCAAGTTCAAGATGGGGGTCGCGCCAGTTGCAGCTCTAAGTACCTTCTACCATTGCTCAATGAGGTATGCTTTAGAGCTCTGGCACACGAGTGCTGATCAGCCTTGCCAGAACAGCCAACACCCTGTCCTGTGAGTATGTGGGGCCCAGAGGCAGAAGTATGAGGGCTTCATCCGCATTGGCCTCTGAGCTTCAGAAAGCCTAACACTGCCCCCCACCCCTTGGCCCATTGCTGGACAGGGCAGGGCAGTGCAGATTTACAGGTGCTTCAGGCAGGCACAATGGGTGAAAGACTAGCAGTGCTCCCCGAAGTCACCAGACAATGGGGAGTTGGCTTCCCTGCAATGGCAAGGGGACCTTTGTTTATTATGTCAGGTGTGTTGAGGTCCAATTTTTATACAATTAAATTCACCCTTTTTAAGCATATAGTTCAATGAGTTCGACAAATGTGTATGTTCATGTAACTACCACCACAATCCAGACATATATGTCTGTCACCCAAAAAGTTCCCTTGGCCCTTGGCAACTGCTGATCTGTTTTCTGTCCCTACCATTTTGTCTTTCCCAGAATGTCAAGTAACAGAATCATTCAGTTTGTAGCCTTTTGAATCTGGCTTCATTCACTAAGTACAATGCTTTTGAGAATCATCCATGCGGTTGCAAATATCAATAGTTCCTTCCTTTTTATTGCTGAGTAGTGTATCACTGTATGGATATATCACAATTAGGTGGACATTTGGGTTGCTTCCAGTTTGGGCAATTATGAATCAAGCTGCTCTATGTGTTCATATGGGTCTTTCAGTAGACACATATTTTCATTTCTCTGGGGTAAATACCTGGAGGTGAGATTGCTGGGTTTTATGGTACATGTGTGTTCATAGGAAACTAACAAACTTTTTCCAAGGTGAGTGTATTCCATCTTCGTTTCTATTTTCATTGGTGGAACTGTTTTCTCATCATCAATAGCAGGACCACCGTGGAAAGACCACTGACTCCCTAATTCAGTGAGAAACTCAAATTACAGAATAGTTGTAAACATTTTTGCTGTTTTAGCTTCTTAAGTACCAATCACAACTCAAAGGATTGAGGTAGGAGTATCCACCCCTCTTGAATGACCAATTGTTCCACTTTGCCTGAGACTCTCCTGGTTTTAGCACTGAAAGTTTTATGTCCTGGGAAACCCCTCAGTCCTGGGACCAAACTGAGACAAGTGGTCACTTTATCCTTGGCTTTTGGCAACTGCTGATCTGTGTTGTGTCCCTATCATTTTGTCTTTCCCAGAATGTCAAGTAACAGAATGGATGTCAGGCACTGTATATTAGTCACATCATTTTATCCACAGGCATGTATCAAGAGTAAGTTTGCTTGTCCTCACCTTAAGTGTAATGAAACAGCCTTCAAAAGCTTAAATTCTTCCCCAGTCCACACTCCAGGTGCAACCAGACATGGGCAACAGGCCTGCCAGACTCCAAAGCACTGGTGTCTTTCAGAGCAGATAATCCCTAGGTGCCAAGCTCTGGGCCTCAAGGGCATGAGACCTGCAGATGGGCCTGTGTGGAGCTTTGCTGCCCTCTGCTGTCAGATATGGTGACACTCCTGGTCTGAGTTCACTTAGGGAGCTGCAAGTCCTGGAAGGTGCCCTTTACTTCTGAGGAGCAAGATCTCAAATCTGGCCTCCGCCCTATAAGGGTGCCACAGGGATGAACCCTACCAAGGTCTGCTGAGGGCGCTGGTGCAGCCATCTGTGCGTCATGTGATCACTCAGAGCCTCATAGAACCAGGGCTAGACTACTGGGTTTGAGTCTGTGTAACCCTGAGCCAGTCACTCACCCCTCTGGGCTTCGGTTCCTTTTCTGTAAATCAGGGTGATAAACACACTTGGACTACTAGGCTTAGACTGAGGTTTTTATTGCCAACTCTTTCACACCCAGCTCTGTGCCAGACCCTGAGCTGGAAGTGCCAGGGAGATGGTTGTCCTCCTGGCTCTGTAATTCTCTGCTAACGCACTGTCTTGTGTTTATTCATTCATTCATTCATTCACTCACTCACTCATTCATGCTGTATCCATTTATTTATTGACTGTTCATTTTTTTCTCATATCTTCACTCATTTAACTTCCTTATCCATTCATTCATCCATCACTTGGTCCTCATTTACACATTCGTTCATTCTTTATTTTTTCAGGCAGTTGTTGACTCCCTCCCTTCCTCCTTGTCTCCTACATTCCTCTGTTCCACAAGCATTCTGGAAGTACCACTCTAGGCCAGGATTAGAAGCTGGTATTCTGGCTCAGCCCTCCTTCCAGATTTGTGGGTAGGCAGAATGGTGAGGACATGCTGTGGTAACTACCACACACCAGCCATCGGGACCCAGAGCACAGGGAGCACCAAGAAGGAAGCAACTTTCTGCCTGGAAGAGAGGGCTGGTGGCAGTCGGAGAAGGTTTCATGGAGTTAGTAGCACGTAAACCAAGCTAAGAAGGGTGTGTGGGAGTTCTCCAGGGAGGAAACAACACTCCAGGTAAAGTCTTTTACTTGTGGCATATTTGGGGAAAAGTAAAGTGCCTGGGTGTGTGTGATGTAGGGTCTAGTGTCCCTGACCACACCCAGGCCAAGCCCTTCCTAGGTTCCAGTGACAGACATGGGCCACGCAAAGACTTTCTCTAATTCATCACTCTTGGCCCCTGGAAAACCACCGACTATCAAGTAGCAAGAATGGCCCGGGAGTGCTAATACAGCATCCTGTCACAGAGGTCACCTGTCCAACCCCTTGACACTCAGTGGAGAGCTGTCCTGAATAGGCTAAACAGGTAGCAGCAGCAGTAGTTTCTGAGGTGGCTGATCTCAGGATCCCACTGTCATCCAGCAAAAATTTGAGTGCCTCGCTGTGAGCCAGGCCTTGCCCACCACACTGGAAATGCAGCAGTGAACAAGATAGAACTACTCTCTGGAGGGCAACAAATGATAAACAAGAAATAATTATGAAGTCTACCAAAAGCATACCAGCACCTGAACAATTTGGATTTATTACCTCTTTCTAGGAAGAAAACTGCACTTAACTTCAGCAAGACGATGTTAAAGAGGACATATTATAGGATTTAGGCTTGGGTTAAGTGATTTGGGAGAGGGTGTAAGTATGCGGGCTTCTACTCTGGATTAGATGCTGTCAGGAAGCAGAGACAATTCTATGATTGGATGTCTTAAATATTTAAAGTAGGAGAAATGCATCGAGGCCAACGCTGTTAAGAAGCAGTAGTTACTCATATTAGCCAGAACAGGGAACATGTTTAGTCTTTTTCTGATTCCAAAGATATTCTTGTTCTCATGAGTTAAAACATTACAGTGTGGTCTTATGTTTAGCTCCATCATGGCCTCATGTGATGTTGGTGTTCTGGGAAATTGTTTATGTCCAACAGGAGAACACCAAGGCCTAGCTGAGTGCCAGGCCAGCTCCAAGATGTGAGGGGCAGCTTTTCTCTTTCCCGTAAGGACGGCTCATTCACTCAGCTGACTCAGCTGAGGTATATTTGCTGGGTGCCAGGTGCGGAGTAATTCGAGGTGAACAAAAGAGATACGGCCCCAGCCCTCAGGGAGCTCACGACTATTTGAGCTACCTTAAATATACTGTCAGAAATACAGGAGAATTGACCAGACCCAAGTAACTGTCAAGACAAAGGTCCAGCGCAGGGGAAGCGGGGCTGAGAGCCTTAAGCAGGGCTGCGGGCGGAGCCACGAAGCGCTCTTGACTGGAGGTCGGCTAGGGCCGGACCCTCGGCCATGCAGTGGCACCCCTCACCCAGGGCTGTGGACCGGGATTTGCCTAGAAACAGAAAATGAAATCAACAGCTCTGATCAAAATAACTCATCCGGCCTCGTTAATATTCGGCAGCCTGCTTTCAGCTCGCGATTCCGTCCCAGCCCCGCCCAGCGGGGAGACTGCGCTTGCGTCGCGGGCGCGCGGCTCTGTCGTCATACGTGCGCGCCGAGGAAGCAGAGAGCTGTTATGGCGAGCTCAGCTGCCTCCTCCGTGCGACCGCCAAGGCCCAAGAAAGAGCCACAAGCGCTCGTCATCCCCAAGAATGCGGCGGAGGAGCAGAAGCTCAAGCTGGAGCGGCTCATGAAGAACCCGGTGAGACAAGGCGCGGGCTCTACTGTCCTTCCTGAGTCCCTTCTGTTCCGGCGCCTCTACGAGCCCCCGGGCCCACCTCCTCCGCCTCCAAACTCAGAAACTGAGTACCCAAACCCCAGCGCCAGTCCTTAGGAAGAAGTAGGCTGTCCCGGAGTCAGCTTCCTTCTGCTCTTCACTTAGAGCCTAGCCAGGATGAGGGCGCTATGGAGCGGCTTCCATTCTCTTAAGAGTTTTTCCAGTTTAACTTTTGTGAACAGAAGCGTTAGACTGGAAAGATAGGACCCGCGAATTAGCACACGGGTAATTTTCTTCTAAACTGCACTATTGTTAGAGAAGCACTGGGGCAAGTCACTCCCCCGTCCAGGCCTCGGTGCCCTTGGTCATAAAAACTATTGAATATGAATTTGACAAGAAAGGGGTGATTCTCCTCGTGTAGTAGCGTTAAAGTTGGAGTTTCCAGCCATAAATGACGACTTAGGTTTCTGAGTTTTTCTCTTGAAAGTTAGTTGTAGCTTTGGCAAAGCCGTGAGCTGTGGTAGACCCCAAAGTATACAGGATGAAGTGAAGCTAAGACAGAGGAAAGAAGATAAAATCAGCTTTGAATCTAAAGAGCAAAGCAGCTTTACTTGCTTTACTTCACTAGTCTAGTTAAAATTCTTTGGTTATAAGATATAGGACTTTGTCACCAGATTTACACTTACAAATGCTTTCCTGTTTAAACGTTTCAGGACAAAGCAGTTCCAATTCCAGAAAAAATGAATGAATGGGCACCTCGACCTCCCCCAGAATTTGTCCGAGATGTAATGGGTAATGTCTTATGGGAAAGTGTGTGTGTATGTAACTATAATTTTTGAAGTGTAGATATAAAGACCCTGCAGTTAGTATATATTAATTAGATCTCTAATAGAAAAAAAATGTTCACTTGTCCAGTATTCTCTCACAACGAAGAGCTTGTGGTTTGGCTTTAGAGAATTTTCTTCTGCGTTGTTTTTAATAATGCCTCATATTTTTTTCTAAATGGAAATAGTTTTATTATTTTGGGTTGTAAATTAACATATATTAATTATAAAGAAAAATAAATAATACAGGTATGAAAATGTTTGGACCACCTGTAATTTCATCATTTCACTTGTAACATTGTGATATAGCATCCAAACCTCTTTATAGCCAAAACCAGTCATGCATAAGCAAAAATGTTCTTACAAAAATATAATTGTTCTACACATACTATTTGGTAATCAGCTTTTTTAACTTAACATATCATGGGCATCTTTTCAGCTCAGTAGAAATTTAGCATGTCAAATATGAAATCATCTTTTGAGAGGGAAAGGTCATAGGCTTTCTTCTAGGTTCCGGTCACTGAATAGAATTTTTAGTGACATCACATCCAACATTCATGCAACAAATATTTAATAGTGCCTACATTGTGCTAGGCACTATGCTAGATTCTGGGGTAATTCTGGGTAATAGGAAAGGCATGATCCCTTCCATTACTTCAGTTTCTTTCTTTGGTCATTTCTAATTAAGGGTAGCCTCTGTTGATAACTGGAGTTCATCAAGAATTCTGAACTGTCCTGGCTATAGGTTCAAGCGCAGGGGCTGGAAGTGGAGAGTTCCATGTATATAGGCATCTGCGCCGCAGAGAGTACCAACGACAGGACTACATGGACGCCATGGCTGAGAAGGTCAGTGAGCAAGGAGGCTGGCTGAGTCCTTGGGTTCAGGCAACGTGCATTTACAACTTTTAGAAAAAAGCATATGAAGAAGAGTAGGTACACCTCGTTGTTGCTTTTAAAGTTAGCACTGGAAACATATCAAGTAGAGTCCAGGTTACTCCTAGGTCAGCCTCAGCACAACAAGATAATCACACTAGGAGATGAATGAGGGTAGGGAGACTTCATGTCTGTAGAAGGGCACAGCAGTCTCCCCTCCCCTCCAGGCCATTTGCCATGAAATGAATTTCTCACACCACTTATTTCTCTATTCTCTCTTTTTGGCCAAACACCTATAATTCTAGTTATCTGTGTGTCTGTTTTGAATAGTTGTTTTCATGTGTCTGTTTCTTTGAGTTTTCTAGCTTGAAGGCTGGCATTGTTATTAGTCAATAGTAATTGATTAAGAATCAAGAATTGCTTTAGAAATTATACCGTAAGGACTATTAAGCTTTCTGTTACTTGACTAGAAGAGCCAGAAATCTCTCTCCTATTTAAAAATACTCATTTGGACATATCACTTGTTTTATTTTTTAAATTAAATTTTGGAATTATTTAATCCACACCAAAATCTTGTTGGATTTTTTATTTTATCCACACTAAAATCTTGTTAGATTTTTTACCAGCATTGAGTCAAACCTGTAACTTAACTTGAATAAGAATGGACATTATACTGTTTAGTCAATCCTTCTTAGAAACTTTCTTTTTTTTTATTTGTTTGAATCTTTTCATGTCTTTCAATGATGATTTATGGAGATTTTGCATGTATCTCACCACATTTGTTCAAAGATATTTTAAGTATTTTGATTGCAGTGGTACGAGGTGGTCCTCTTTTATTTTTTGCTATTAATGAGAAGCAGAAAAAAAAATACTGACTTTTGTTTAGTGCTCCTATATTTGCCCACCTCACTATTAATAAAAATCGATTATTATTTGGCTAGTTCTTCGGGCTTTTCCAAATCTGATTTCTCCTAACCCTGTGTATGAGAGAGTACCCTTGTTCTTAATCTTGCAGTGTGCACTAGAAAGGTCATTTTCCTCAGTCTGACCATAATTCCTATTGTTTCATGGACTACATTTGTAATTTTTGAGAGTCAGATACTTTAAAATGATATTTGTCTGCTTTTCATGAAAGAATTTATTGATTTTCCAATAATTTGATTTTAAAATATCAAACTCTGTAGAATTCTTCCTACGTAAAGGAAATAAAATACTTTTAAAAATTAAACATTCATAAATATAGAATAATACTTAGCAATAAAAAAGAAACAGACTAATGGTACATGCAACAACATGAACAATTCTTAAAAACATTGTGCTAAGTGAAAGAAGTCTTGCAAAAGGAGCCCATATTGTATAATTCCATTTATATGGAAACTATGTGGAGAAAAAACCAGTCTATGCGGAAAAACAATCAGAACAGTGGTTGCCTCTGAGAGTTGAATAAGGGATTAACTGGGAAGTGGTATAAGAGAACTTCCTGGAATGATCAAATTGTACACTCAAGATTTGGGCATTTTGTTGAATGCAAGTATTACCTTAAATGAAAAAAAAAAAAACCGTAAACAAATGTTAAAATTTAGTTAATGATATGTATGCTTAAATCTTTAGAAGTAAATTGTCTTGACTGCAGCTTATTTTGAAATGCATCAAAAAATAAGATGGATTGATGGGTAGAAAAATAGGTAGGTAGGTATGTGATAAAGCGAGTAACAAAATGTCAGTTGTAGCATCTAAGTGGTGGGTATATACACTATATTTCTTTCAACTTTTCTGTGTTTGAAATTTTTCAGTGTAAGACACTAGGGAAAATATTAAACCAAAGAAACAGACAAGATACAGAAGAAAATGTATAAAAATTGTTTGGAATGGCCAAAATTGAGTTTAGAAAATAGCTTTATGATTTTGGGATGATCGTTGTGGTGGTTTTCATCTGGTTTTGCTTGTCCTGCAGCCTTTCTTTGCCCCCGGATGTTACTGGTTCTTCTCCAGCTACTGCCATCCCCTGGTTAGAACATTCTTAATTCTAGTGGGAAGGTTTAGATAGTTTGTCACACAGCTATACCAGGTCACTGTGATGGGTTTGCCACTATCAGGAATAAACAAAACTCTGTATGTAGAAACTATTGGAAACACTATTTTTAAACTACTTTGGAGGGGAGGAAAGAAGTAGAGCAGGCTGTCTCAAATACCATCAGTTAGTCTGAAGTTTTTATATATTGATTAAAGACCTAGAGAAAATACAGGAAATTTTTTACGAACCTTGAAACCATGCAGACACAAAAGTTGATATTTCATATTGTGAAAGATAGGCTCTGAGGTTAAAAGAAAAAAGAGAGACGAGAATCCTCACCTTTCACAGTGACCTCTGACAGCAAACCTGGTTTGCATCCTTGCAGCAGCCAGGGTCAGCAGCCAGTGAGGGCTCTGTTTAGTTCACTTGATAAATGCAGCTGCTTCAGTAGCACAGGGAAAGACATTTACAGCTCAGCTTCTGATCAAACCAAGTGCTTTTAGCTTTTTAAGTCATTTGCTTTCAGTTGTCCTCTAATTAAAGCTGATTTTCTTCTTGAAAGGAGACCTTTCTGTTTTATTTCATGATTTCTGCTCTCAGAGAGTTCCTTTGTCACTTGAAGGAAATCCACACAGACATGGCAGTACAGACCAGCAAAGGTGTTGCCACCTCTTCTCTGCTTGGCTCCTTTTTTGTCCCATCGACCTTTATGGCTGTGATTAAAAGAAATAGAGATTACTCTTTTTATCAGTAGATGTCTTTGTAGTATATAAATGCTTCTTTGTAGGTTATCACATTTCATTATTCTTCCTAAAGATTCTGGGAGAGAGGAATTGTTATTTTGTCCATTTTAAAGATGAAACAGGTTTAGAAACTGAGAGCTGCTAGGAAGAATACAAGAGAAGGGTGGGTAGGTCTGGGTGTGTACACTCACGTATACCTATATACACGTGTGTGTGTGTGTGCGCGTGTATTTAGTAGCAGGCAATGGCAGTATGTGTTAAATTGCTTTAGAATCAGTCGTGATAAACTGTATTAAGTTTGGACTTGAAAATTCGACGGTTCCAGCCAGAAGCCATTCTATCTGATGAGTTCCTGTCACTGTAAACAAAAAACACACTCTTGTCTCCTCTCAGTACTCTACTACACTTCTGACATGTCTTATCACCAAATACATGAGGATTTTCCCACACCAAGAAATTTTGTGACACCAACTGAGTGTCCTACAGTTTAACCCAATTCTGCCACTATCTGAAATTAGCTTCAGATCCTGCTGATAAAGGGCTCAGTCCCACAAGACTGCGTCCTTTCCCCATTAAAAGTCCAGTCACGAGTCCAAATTGTCATCTGTACTTCTTACCAACTGGCTGTAAATCAGAGGTTTCCCACTACCTCTTCTTTGAGTTTTAATTTGCTTAGAGAAGCTCACAGAACTCAGGAAAACATCTTATTTACTAGATTTCCAGTCTGTTACAAAAGGATATAACTCAGAACGGCCAGATGGAAGAAAGGGTGAGAAGCTTCCATGCCCTCTCCCAGCACCTTCACATGTTCACTAACCTGGTGGCTTTCCAAACCCCATCGTTTCAGGGTTTTGGAGTCTTTATTATGTGGGCATGATTGATTAAATCATTGCTCTTTGGTGATTGGATCAGCCACCAGCCCCTCGCCTCCCTGGAAGTCAGGAGGTGGGGCTAAAAGTCCCCAGGCGATCAGCTTTCCCTTAGAGCTTTCTAAAAGCTACTCATTAACATAAGCTCTTATGGTTAAAAAAGGGCTTGTTATGGATAACAAAAGACACTTATTGCACCTTTATCTCGAGCTCTAGGAACAAAATATAATAAAAGGTATCCCAGTGGCTCTAATATAGGAAATTTATGAGTTTTAGAAGCTATGTGCCAGAAACAGGAAGTGAAGACCAAATATATTTTTTTTATTGTAAGTCACAGTATCACCCTAAGGCCCTGGCTAAACAGCTGATACTGCTGCCCCTGCCCTCCAGGAATACAGTCTGCTCCCTTTCGTACTTTCTCTTAACATTTTGTTGCATGTGAGTGGTATCTTAATGAACTAGAAGACTTACTTTGCCTTCAGAGAGCCATATACTGATTCTTGCCCCACCTGTGGGGCAATCACTTAAAATGGCCGTAGAGACCAAGATGTGCCTGCAGCACCCCCAACTGGTGTGAATTCTAGAGCTCTCAGACCCAGCCCAGAGTGTGTCTAAATGATGTGTGTTTTTTTGCAGCAAAAATTGGATGTAGAGTTTCAGAAGAGACTGGAAAGGAATAAAATTGCTGCAGAGGAGCAGACTGCAAAGCGTCGAAAAAAGCGGTAAGGGCTTTGTGGCATCCCATAACTAATGAGACTTAAGGGCAGGAAATGGGAAAGTAGATGGTTGGTGAATGAGTCCTTGTAGTCAGAAGTTCACCTGTATAACCTGTTGAGGTCTTGGGTGCTACTACCCACTGTGGAGCAATCCAGTACTTAGCTTTTCTTCCAGTACCTGATGAGAGATCAAGTCAGTTATTGTGCTTTTCCCTTAGCTCAATACAAATTCTCTAGAGCTTGGAAGTCAGCACTTTGTGGTGATCGCATGGATTTCTGTGTCTTCTTCACATCTGTATTTTAAGATCTGGTCTTGATGTCGGACAGCTTGACAGGGTGGGAGTCCAAAGAGGGACCCTCACTCCAGAGCTCTAGTGATTAGGTTCTTGTTTTATGCCGTGAGAAAGAATTCAAGGACATGACAAACAGCAAACTGGAAAGTGCAAGTTTTTGTAAGGCAAAAGTACATACAAGTAAAGTGCAGGAAGCTCAGAGAGAGAATCTGCCCTGGAATTACAGGCTTCTGTTTTCTTAGGGGTGGGGTTGTCCCAAGACTATCCATCTGTCTTGTTTGATTGGCTTGTTTCTCATACCACCTGGAGGAGAGAAGATGCCCAAGGCCATCTATCAGTCTCCTGGCCTTGGCTTGTTTCTCATGCTGGAGTCTCATGCTTGATATCAAAACAAAGAGAGGGCTGAGTAAGGGACAAGGGGAGACGTTCCAGAGCCACAGGGAGAGGACTGAGTAAGCGACTGAGGAAAAATTCCAGAACCACATCCTGGAGGGGAGGAATAACTTCCCTAAGCTAACTATCCTGCCTCAGTTTAATTAGGTACTGTAAGCTTCTTGTTTAGCTTCTTCCTTAAATTAGGGTCTGTGACCTCCCTAAATGAATACACAGGAATATAGGCTGCATGTGTGTATGTTTTAATAAATGCTCTTTTGGCATAAAAAAAAAAACCTGTAGAGAAGTTTTATAAGAATTTATTTGAGCCAAACTGATGGCAATTGCCAGGAAGCAAGATTCTAAATACTCCCCCAGAATGGCAGTTTGCAGCTTCTTTTATGCATTTGAAATTAAGGAGGGAATTAAGGAACCTTGATTACATGAAGGTGGGAGAGAGCAAGGCGGCAGCTGGATTACAGGATAATTAAAATTTTGTGCTCTCTTGAGGGTGGTTACTTATGAAAAGAGGCATTTCAAAGGTGTGTTAACCTAGATGCACAGAAACAATAGACAGGGCTTGCTTAAGGCAAAAGTAAACCTTTAACTGAAGAAGTTATATGCCTGGGTGTGACTACCCACCATAATAAATTCCCAGTTAAGAATTTGTGATCAGACCACTCTATAAGGTTACTTTCCATAGAACCCTTTTCTCATTTATACTCCCAGCTTTTAGAGAGCTGAGCAGGATTCTAAAAATAGTTCCTAAAATCTTGGAATGAAAAAGCATCTCCAGTATTTCTGAGGTTGCTTTAATCACTTCAGGATTTTATTTCGATTCATAAAGTAGATTGATAATGATGTTGCAGTAGCAGAATTATAAGAAAATCTCTTTCATTTTATTATTGTAGTGTTTGTAATTACAAAGTCTTCAAAGATCTTATATGTAGATGTTTATTTTCTAAAGTATACAATAAGGTAGCTAAAGAATTAATATATTATATTTGTAGCCAGAAGTTAAAAGAGAAGAAATTACTGGCAAAGAAGATGAAACTTGAACAGAAGAAACAAAAAGAAGGTAAGTGGTACCCACTTTTCTTGGTTGTGATCTTTTTCAGTGCTGATCACAGAAACTGACCCTGTCAAGAATGAGATTTAGAGTTTGGAGATGGTTGGCTGGCCAGTGAAGAAATGAGGGCTTCTTTCTATTAGTTAGACTCATTTACTTGCAGGTGTCAGAAAGCCAAACTGGAGTAGGCAAGAAAGAAAGATACTGGCTCACATTAAGTTCAGGACAGACTTTCCTTCAGGCATGGCCAGTAAAGGAGCTTAGTGTTGTTGTTGCCTTCACTGTCTTCCTCTGTTCCCTGGCTCCCTGTCCTCAGGCAGGCTTATGTCCTCCCTGTGGTTTTAAGGTTCCTGGGGCTGTACCCTGCCTCATTCTTGTGCAGTAGGAAAGACTGGGAGGATGTCCCTAGCAAAAGTGTCTGGTTGAGTCACTTGGCAAGTCAGTTAAAAATGCTTTTGGCTGTAAGAAACAGAAAACTCAACTAGTAGTACTTAAACAAAGAGGAGTTCAGTCTTCTCACATAACAAAAAATCTGGTGGTAGGTGGCAGCCTGGTATGTTCAGCAGTTCAGTAGTGTCAGTTCTGTAGGGCCTTTTTACCTATAGTTCTCTTGGCCTTTATCCTGTGAGCATGATACGGTTGCTGCAGCTCCTGGTATCATACCTATGTTAAAGCAGGAAGAAGAGAGGAAAGAAGTGGTACTTGTCTGGTCTTTTGGTAACTGAAGAGTCAAACATCCCTCAGAAATTCCCAGCAGATGTTACCTTATGTCCCACTGGTCAATACTAGGTCACTTTGCCATCCTTTGCTGTCATGCTAGATGAATAGAAAACAGAATTGTCATGACCATCTTTAACCTATCGTGATTCATCTCTGGGAGCTGGGTACATTGCCACCCTAGACAGAGTTGGGGTTTCATTAACAAGGAAGAATAAGGGGTGAGTAATATGTCAGCATCCCCCAGTGCTGCCAGCCAGTCTTGGCCACCTCTGAACCTATCACAAGGCCAGAGGTACTAGCCACTCCCCTGGAAGCCCTCGGTCTGAGAATCAGGGAGAGAGGGGCCCCAGATAGGAAGGACCAAGGATACTAAGAGACCAAAAAATGGCAACTCTCCATTACATTACTGAATCCGTGGCTGTTCTCTGATTGATTAGGCATGATTCCTGGTTGGACAATTGTGATTTTTGGTTTTAAGAGAAAATCAGACTTTGACTGACATACTGAAACATGATTGGTCCCTTCCGGGACCAATTTCCTTATGAGTTGTAAACGTACTGTGCGAGACACTATATATGGCATGACTTTTTACTATTTCCCATCATTTCCTAGAAGAAATTACTTTACAGTGCCAAAATGTGATTACTAGGACCTCATCCCTCAAATAAACTGCCTCATTACTTTCCCTGCCCTACCCTCCATATGCACACTCACACAAAAGAACATGGAACTACTTGGTCCAATGGCTGGAGGCTTAGAGTTAGTCTCATGTTTTGCTGAAGGAGATACTATAACTTAGACCCAATATACCGTTGTATTGGGAAATGGAAAGATCTCCTTCCCTCTAGGTAATTTGACCCTCCTTCCCCAGACTGTTGCTTGTTGTCATTGTCGCTATGTATGTGTTTAGTGACTCTTCTGAACTAATTCTGTAAAGCCTGTATTTGTTGTGTGTGACCACCAAAGTCTCTGCTTGGTTAGCTTAGTGGCCACTTGATGAATAGAGATTTCCTTAAATGCCAGTAAGTCTTCCAGTCTTTGCCAAGGGAGTTAGTTCTCTATGTGTCTTAGAGCACGGTTTCAACATTCTGTCAGGCAGTTTACAATTTTGCATTAGCCTTCATTTCCTTCTTGCACAGAACCTCAAGGTCAGCCGTAGGTAAGATTTAGGGCCATCACTGGTCTGTCTTAGACATGTGCACAGCTCTGCTTCTAGATTCCCACCTTTTCCTCTTAAGCTTTTGGTCAGTTTCATGAAGGGCTTCTGTGATATTAAACAGTTGCTACTGATTGGTTTTGAGAAGCACTCTGGGGAAAAGACTTTGCACTGAGTTGGGTTGAATAAAGATAGGCCTTGTGAGTGGAAGTTTCTAAGGAGCTGCCAGACAGGTCAAATAAAGACACAGCTCTGTGTATGAAACTTCTGAGGAGCTCCCAACGCAGTTTACCTCCTCTAGTGGCTGCTAGGCTGCTAGTTTTCACAGCTATGTGATTATGAGGTTGTTGGTTTTGGAGGCTAGCTCAGATCTAGGGGGAGAAGGTAGGAAATAGAGTAAGTTAAAACACAACAAAGCTTGCTGTTCTTACCAAGATTCAGCCATTTTTCTTGAACAATCCAGGGAACATTTCCAGAGTTCTGGAAAAGTTGACTTGAATTATTATTGTCAGTGTTCTTGATTCTTTTATTAAGGAGCAGATTTTTAGAGGTCTTTACTCTCCTATTCTGAAAGTGCTTCCAGCCCTTTTAATCTACCTATATTTGAAATATGTTTTCTGTTCACATCAAATATTTAGGTCGTGGTTTTTATCCGTTCTGAAAACCTCTGTTTTTACTGACATGTTTGGAGTTTAGGACTACCATTTTATTTGGGTTTTTGTTCTGTTTTTTGTTTCTGTTTCCCCTTTCTTATCTTCTTTTGGATTACTTGAGCATTTTTATTCCATTTTAATTTATCTATTTTGTTTTTAAGTATAGTTGACCCTTCAACAACATGGAGGTTAGGGGCACTGACACTGCCCCCTTCCTCAGTCAAAAATCTGAGTATATATAACTTAAGTTAGCCCTCCACATGTGTGGATTCCCAACCGTGCATCAAAAATACTGTTTCTGATCCACAGTTAATTGAATCTGCAGATGTGGAAACCCAGGGATACTTACTGAAAAAAAAAATCCATATATAAGTGGACCTGTGCAATTCAAACCCGTGTTGTTCAAAGGTCAACTATATATCCCTTTCTGTAGCTTTTTAATTGTTCCTCTAGAGATTACTATGTACACACATACTTTCATAGTCTAGTTAGAATCATTTCACTTGGAATATAGAAACTTGTCACCACGTAGCTTCCTTTACCCTTCCCATTGTAGTTGCCTTCTATATTGCATCTACATACATTGAAAGCCCTATCATATAATGCTGTTATTTTTGTTTTCAATCATCAAATATGTTTTAAAGATCTCAAGAGGATAATAGTCTGGAATGGTTACTGTTTCTGTTGCTCTTCCATTGTTCCTAATGTTCCAGGCTTCCCTCTGATATCCTTTAGTCATTCAGTTAGAACAGGTCTGCTGGCTATGAATTTTCTTAGCTTTTCTTCATATGAAGCTATCTTTATTTCATCTTTGTTCCTAAAGGATATTCTCACTAGATGCAGAATTCTGAGTTGGCATTTTATTTTTTTCCTGTAAGCACTTTAGAAATTCTGTTCACTTCCTCTGGCCTCCATGGTTTCTGATGAAAAATCTGTAGTCGTTCAAGTTGTTCTATCATTGTTTTTCTCTGGCTGCTTTCAAAATTTCTCTTTAGATGTCAGCAATTTGATTATAATATGTCTGCACGTGGATTTCCTTGGGTTATCCTGTTTGGAGTTCACTGAGCTACTAGAATCTGTAGGCATATGTCTTTTGTCAAATTTAAGAGGGTTTTTTGTTGCTTTTTGTTTTTTGTTTTTTCATTTTTTTGTTTCTTGTTTGTATTGGCTAATTTCTTTTGATCTGACTTCAAGCTGTCTTTCTTATGTCATCTCCATTCTGCTATTGGTCCTATCCAATGAATTTTTTATTTCAATTATTGTGTTTTTCAGGAAAGTTCTAAAATCTCTATTTGATTCTTTATTTTTATTTATTTTTCTAACACCTACAGCACCTGGTATTCCAAGGTGATCTCCCATCCAAGTACTAACCAGGCCCAACTCTGCTTAGCTTCCGAGATCAAATGAGATTGAGCACGTTCAAAGTGGCATGACCGTAGACTCCATTTGATTCTTTATACTTTCTGTTTCTTTGCTGCAGTTTTCTATCCACTTGTTTCAAGAGTGTTCACTCTTACTCCCTGGAAAATTTTTAAATAGCTGCTTTAAAGTATTTGGTAATTCCAACATCTGGGTCATCTCAGCATTGGTGTTTGTTGATTGTCTTTTCCCATGCAAGTTGAGATTTTCCTGATTCTTCATAGACATTTTGAATATTACATCATGAAGCTCCAGTCTTGTTGATATTTGTTTTAGCAGGCAGTCAACTTGATTGTGTTCAGAACACAGGTTCTGACCAACCTTCTGTGAGTTATGGCTCCAATGTCAGTTCAGTTTTCAAAGCTTTTGCTGTGCTTTCCAGAAGTGTCTTGCCTGTGCCAACCAGTGGCCAGTCAGGGTTTAGTTCTATGAGTTTGGTTCTCAGAATGTTTAGTGTGATGATTAGGGCCAGATCCATGCATGTACTGTCAGGGCGAGCCCAGGAATTTATAAACAACTCTGTGGTGTCTCTTCTAATCTCTTCCCATTCCTTGATCTCCCCTATAGTTTCTGGTCTTCCCTTTTCAGACCTCCAGCCAGAAAGCTGGGACTTCAGTTACTCACTCTGCCACATACTGATGCAACTGCGCCTGCATCCAGGGCCGAGCAGTGGGAGGACAGAGAAGAAAAGCAACAAGGGCTTGCCTAACCATCTTAAAACTGTAGCTCTTTTGATCAGAGAGAAAGTTTTTGTGCCTGTAAGCTCCTTTTGCTACTGTAGTCGCTGTTGCCACCATGACCCTGGTAGGATTGCCTGAGAGCTTGGGTTTGAGAAAATGGAAAAAAAGAGAAGAAACACAAGAACTTCCCTCACTGTGAGCATTAGGAGTCCTCTTTCAGGACCAAAGGGTTTCTCTTGGAGCTCTGCCTTTCTGTGCCCAGTCTCCACTTCTGGGTATTGGATCACCCTGAATCCATTGGGGATAGTGGAGGGAAAAAACCAGGAAACTCAATACTGTTCCTGTGGCACTTTGTATTCTGATCTTTTTCCCCAGTCTGCT